TCCCCGTCCAAAGAACGCGCCCAAAGGAACCTTCCAGAACATTCCTTCTTCGCTCTGGAAACCACGGACCCGGTCGCCGTCGAGTCCGTCGTTTGAATCGCTCGAGGTAAGGGCCTCTTCTGCTCTCTTTGGAGTGATCTGCCCACGGAGAAAAAAAAAATTATTCGCTGGAGGAGGGACGGACGGACGGGAATATTACGAACTGCTTGCGGCGTACTGGGGACGGACACTGGTGGCGACGGAGAACGGACGGACGGACGGCATCCTCTCTTCTCGGTCGCTTTGGGTTTGGGAGGGGAGGAGGTCAGGACTTGGAATTGGGGATCGGGGCGGACATTTGGGAGAAAGGAGGTACTTTGCGGACATTGAGGCATTCAAGATCCATCCAGCACTCTCGTCGTAGCATCCTTTGGCTCCTCGCTCCTGTCGCAAGATCTAACCCTTTTACATTCCTTCTATTCCCTCCCTAGATCCTAGATCACAGATCAATATCGCAGATCCCAGATCCCTTTCACTCCCCCCTGATTCCCCCCCATCAAACATGCACGCCTCGGCCGCCCACCAACGCCCCTCCTTCTCCGCCCACCGCCCCACCGCCCCCACACAACGCCCTCCCGCCCTCGACCCGCAATCCTACTCTGCCCTCTCCCCGCACTCGGTCATGACCGCCGCCGCCGCCATCCAATTCCAAGCCGCACTCGCCCAACAACAACAACAACAGGGCTACGCTCCCCCACAACGCTTCCCCCGCCGTCACAGCGCCGCCGATACCTTTGCGACCCAGCCTCACCACCACCAGCAACGGCATGCGCCGTGGGACCCCACCGCGGGGGACCTTGCCGGCGTCCCTCGCGACGTGCTGGCGGCCATGCTGCATTCCCAGGCCGTCAACGAGGCGTCTAAACCCCCTCGTGGACCCCAGGCCATCCCGGTTCCAAGGCCGCATCCCCAACCCCCGACCCCCACAAGCGCATCGTACCCCGACATGTACTATCCTCCTCCTCCCACGGGTTTCCAAACCATTGCCCAGCAGCAGCAACTCACGGCTGCCATGTCGCAGGCGGCGGCGGCTGCGGCGGCTGCGACGGCGTTTGCGGCGCAGCAGCAGCATGGGCAGGTGGTGGATGCGGCGACACTCATGGCGTTGGGGTTGCAGCAGGCCGCGTTGAATGCGGCGGCGGGGGGTGGCGCGGTGGCGGCGGCGGCGGCGTTGGCGCAGCAACAGCAGCAGCAGCAGGCTTTGCAGCAGAGACCGGGGACGAGTTCGAAGCAGCATCGGAGGAGGGCGTTGAGCTCGGATGCGACCTTGGGGATGGTGGCGGTGCAGCCTACCACCACGGGATCCCCCACGAGCTCCACCGCGTCGTCTCCGGGTGCGCCGAGGGCCCCTGGCCCTGCTGTTGTGATCCCGCCTATGGCCTACCCTGGTTTCCCCACTTCTGCTGCGGCTCCCGTTGTGGTGCCGGGTGGTGGGGGCCCCTTGAGCCCTAAGCCGCGGTCGGCACGGAAATCCAGCGGCAACATCCATGCAACGAGTCCGCCCCGTGAAGCGGAGGAAGGACCGAGCAAGGAACCTGGGGCAAAGAAGGTGGATAAGGAGCAGAAGAAGGTGAATTTGTACAAGACGGAGCTGTGCAGGAGCTGGGAGGAGACGGGGGATTGTAGGTATGGCGCCAAATGCCAGTTTGCGCATTCGATGGAGGAGCTGAGGGTCGTGGAGAGGCATCCAAAGTATAAGGTAACTCGGTTTTTTTGGGTTGGTTTGGCTAATGGATTTTCTTTAGACCCAGATGTGCAAGACGTTTTGGGAAAAGGGAACGTGTCCCTACGGCAAGCGGTGTTGCTTCATCCACACCACTTCCACCCTCAACGCCGCCGCTGCTGCTGCCGCCGCGGCTGCTGCCGGTGGAACCTCAACCACCACCACCACCCCGACCCCCTCCATCACCACCTCCCTCTCCCCGCCCACCGACCCTCAACCTAAATCGGCCCTGCTCTCTCCCGTCGGCATCCCCGTTTCCCTCGACGACGGCCTGATGTTTGGCGACCCCGAGATGGTGTTTGGACCCGTGTCGGCGCCGCCCACGGTGGGAGGCGGGACCCACTTTTTTGAACCCCCGTCACCCGCGGCCCCACCCTCGGCGTCGACTGCGCGGAGGGTGTCGGTCGATAGGTCGCTCCCGCCACCAGCGTTGGGGGGCGAGGCTTATTTGCATGCGGTGCCGGAGGAGGAGGACGTGCCGGGGTCCGTGGTGGCGGCGTTTGAGAAGATGGGGGTTTCGAAGCCCTCTCGGCCCAGGAACCTCCCGCGTCTCAATGGAGTGGACGTGCCCGTCCCCAACGCCCCCACACCCCAGGACCCCACGCCGTTTGTGGGGACGCCGTACCCGTTCTCCCCTCCCGCTGGTGGGCACCAAAGAGCCGCGAGTGGGCCCGGTGTCCCCGCGGCGGCCGCCCCAGGAGATTACTTTGAGTTTGTGCCGGGAGAGTTTGCTGAGGGATTTGGAGGAGGCAATGGAAGGAGGGCGAGGAGTGTCACGCAGCCGCCTGGTGGGGCGGGGGTGAGGATGTATGGGAGCTTGCCGAGGGACCCTGCGGCAACGGTGGCGCCCCCCGTGTCGCCGACCGTGGGGCCGGCGTTTGCGGCGTTTGGGGCGGAGGCGTTTGCGAGGAGGCCGTCGGCGGCTGCGGCTCCGGCGGCTGCGGCTAATGGGTTTTTGGCGGTCGGATCGCCCCCGAGGGCGGGGCCGGGGTCTCCTGGAAAGGCGGGGGAGCAGCGGAGGCCGTCGGCTGGGGTGATTGGGAGCGGGAAGGCTCCTGGGGCGGCGGTAGGGGCGGTGGGGGCTGGGCCGGTGGTGGCGAGTGCGGCGGAGAAGGAGTTTGAGAGCCATTTGATGGCATTCAGGCAGATGAATTGAGGGAATGAGCGGCCCCCTCGGAAACCACCTGGAGAAGAAACCAAGTTTTGTTAACTTTATTTTTTTTTTATGCTATCCTTATTCTCCTCTCCCCTTCCTCTACATCATATCTTTATGTTTGTTTTTGTTGGGGGTGTTGTTGCATACCCTGCCCCCCCTCCCTCTCTGTCTTTGTCGCGGCTCTGGTTTTTTATTTTGTTTTTTGGGTCGAGTATCTATGCGCGTTTGATTCACGCGCGCCATTTTTTTTTTTTTTTTTCTCTTACACGTCGGTCGAGGTTTTTGTTAGATGGTATAACCCCCTTAACATCCTTTTTTTTTTTAACGAACCCCTCCCCTGTGCTTTATTTATGGGTTTTTTGTTTAGGCGAGATTGCATACACTCCCTTGCCCATCATCACTTGTTTATGGAATAAAGACGGATTTTATTTGTATGGTTGGTGTGTGTTTGGGGTTGGGGTTGAACAGGGAGGTCCGCGTTTGTTTCCTGGAGCGAGGGATGGGTAGAAGTGTCGACGTGCTGCGTTGCGAATTTGGCTGTGGAGGTTGGAGGGGTCACCGAAGATTTTCGTTGGAGGGTTGCGATGAAAGGTGATGGGGGGAGTGTCGCTGAGCGTTGAGAGTTTGATGGACAGCATCCGGGAAGCGGTTGTTGAACGATTTTGGCTGAAGCGACAGTAGGGAACGGGCGTTTACCATCGTTGTCGAGTGGCGACGGTGCGACTCATTTGCTGTTCCACCCCGAGTTATTTGCATTTTCTCTTGGCTTCCCGGCTAGACGCGAGGATCATACCTTCCAAGACGCGTTTTGGTTGGGGAGCTTCAGACGCGTTCCACGCGACTCGTGGGAACGTTTTTGCGCGTGATTTTGGGGAAGAGGTGTAACTTTTGCGTAACGGTCGAGTTTCACCTTTCCAGAATCCATGCGAGCTGGGCCTCTTGCGGTGAGGCCGGACGACGGAGGCTTTGGAGGGCTGTGGGGATCGGGGTGCTGTGATGGATGGCTAGTGCCGGTGTGGGATCGAGGTGGAGGCGGGTGGTTGGCGATGTGGGTGGGTGGGTACCGGTGCTAGCGCTGGATGTGTGAGGGATGAAGGGGGTGGATCATCTGGAGCGAGGTGGATGGAGATGCAGCGCCGGTCAGGGTGAGTTTGAGTGGGACTTCTGGTTCGGTTCCGTGGTTTCTGTTGCTTTTCTGTCGTTGCTTAACCGGTTTGCGATGGTTTGTGCAGGTGATCTGTGGCTCTTCGCAGGTCGGCTGTGGGGGTGGCTCAACTCGGTAGCCGATCGGCGGACTCTCGCCTGGAGGTACACTCGCCCTGAAATCCTCGGACCTGAAGCCAACTAGAGCGGCAGCGGTTGAGGCTCTGTTCGTTTTGAGGCCTCGGCAGCGGCAGGGTGATCACTACGACCCTCCGTTTTGGGGCTTTTAGTTTCGGTGAGCGTTCGTGCCCGTCTGCAGCTGCCTGGCACCTATTCATTGCCTTCAAGCTAACAGCGCCACTAGAGACGGCTTCATCTAGATCAATCGCAAGAATTGGTTCGATTGCGAAGAACGAGGAGGTTACCTCTTCTTCATTGGGTTTGATTCCATCGGATGTAAGGTACGATCGCGGTTTTCGTTCGACAGATGAGCCATGACGGCTGGCGCAGGGCGTCGCTCATGCGTTGCCGTTCAAGAGACTTCATGTTCGCGAAGGACGTTAAATTCTTTTTCTCTCCTTTCATGACTGGTCTTTGGCGTCCGATGCCAAAACAGGTATCTTGGTGTAGTTGGTTATCACCCTCGCCTTATTCCATGCTCCTCACTTTTTCAACACCATTGTCTCTGCAGGAACGGGTCCATCAGCTGCAAGATCGGCGCGATAAGGGAGGTCGACAAGGTTTGGCGACCCGACGTAACTTGATCGAGTTTGTTTCGCTCAGAGGTAAGTAACTAGCATGGTTTCGTTCGCTGCATGAGCCTGGATGATGATGGCTGGCGGATAGAGCGCGTGAAGATCAACGAAATTGGAATTTGGCGAACGAGTTATTATTCCCAACCCGGATGGTTAAACATTCTTCGATTCCGGTAAAACATATGGTCTCTTGGTGTAGTTGGTTATCACACTCGCCTTACACGCGAATGGTCGCCGGTTCGATCCCGGCAGAGACCACTTTTTTCTCGTTCTTGCCTTCATTTTACTTTCCCGCTCATCACATTCGTTCGTAAACTTCTGCCCACGGCTTCGACATTCATATTTCTTCCTCTTTGCTATGCAGGACGTGATGGGGACGACGTCAAATCCAATACGACGTGCATTGCGTTCTCAAGAGCAAATAAATTTTTTTTCAGATTACTAAAATGAGGCTTCGCCTCAAACTTTCCTCTTGTGCCGGATTATATGTGCAATCGAAAAATAGGGAGGTTGGCGGACTTTTGATATAAGAGAGGATATTGCTTCAAGGGTGATAGGCGGTGGCAGAAATTTGTTAATCATAACATGAGCAGAACTAAACTGTTCAAAGTCGTGGTTCTGGATGATGCGACATAGAGAGCACCTGCTGCCATGTTGTGACGTCCTTCGGCAAGATTTGAAACCATCACACCTTGTGGTAGTGTTGTTCCTTGCAATTTCTCAGTAACACATGAGAAGAAGCTTATCATAGGAAATTGGCGAAGTGTAAGGCTTGTGTTGTTACACTTTTTGATCTTGGTAACATTTTCGTGCGGAGTTATTGGTATACATCCCGGTGGAAATCCTTTAAAAAGAACTTTATCAACTCCACGGAGTTTAACTACTATGCACTGCGGAAGTCATTTTAGAGCCAAGGTTGTGAAATATCCTATCTCACAAGGCTTTATCGTGTCCGAGAAAGAAAGGCTTAGTTACTGATTTAGTCCGCGTCCGATACTTATTATGATGTACGGATGTCTATGTTTAAGTATGTCTACGAGCGTCGCTGGCGATGGCTTGTCGAACATTTGCGAATACTTTTTCCCTACGACAGAGAGGTTTTTGTATATTTTTCCTCTAAGAAGTAGTTTTATAGGGTTTTTTTAGTATCGCAGGATGAGTCGTTTGA